GTATTACTATCCCTGCTCAGTGTAATCAAATTTCTGGAGTTTTCAACTATGTTGGGCAAGACAAAACATCATTTTTAAGGTTAATATCTGCTTACCATTCACCAGAGGTGGAAATAAAATCTTCAGTGAGAAAAGCATAATTGGACCAACAGTTGACTACCTTATGGTAATCTATTAATATTCTCCAAAATGCATCTAACTTCTGCCCCTGCCAAGCCAGATGGTTAAATAAGAATGTGATAAGAATCACCAAAACTACAACTTTAAAGTACGAATATTACCTTTGATATATTGTTTTTGTGAAGAAAAAAAGCTCTAGAATCTTCCCTTGCTTCACATTTTCCCTTTCTTTTTGAGTCAGGGGACCAACGTGAGGAATCTGTCAGTTTTGGACTGTGCCTGATATTGCCCCTTCAGATTCACTTTCCATCCTTTTCTATCCTGATCTCTTCCCAGGAGGCTGACCTGTATGAATCACATCATGAAATTTTGAGTCTTCTGATGTCTGGTTGGTTTTAGCTAATGATTCTTTGCAAAGGCGTAAAGTCAGAGTATTTCTTTTTCTGGTTCCCCCTCTGTGAGTTCGAATCATGCTAGCTATACCCCTTGATAGAAAGTTGCTGTTCTCAAAGCTTTCTTGTCTAAACTTCCATCTTACCTTCAGTTTCTGGGAATCCCTCCTTCCCCGTATCCCTTTGGGCCTAGGGATGGTAAAAACTGCACTGTTGTTAGCCCATGTTTCCCTCACTTTGTGTTCCTCTCCAACCTTTGTATGCCTTTGAAATTAGCCCCTTTGTTTAAAAACAAATAAATAAAAACTAGAATTATACTAATTTGAGTGTGCTGTTTGCCCTTGGGACTCAAATTGAAACATTTAGTATAGCACAGGAATGAATACTAGGTTTAATATATATTTGAACTAAGATCAGCACTCACTTTATTACCTTATCTCTACAATCTCCTGTTCTAAAAGAGCACCTTTGTGGCATTTCTGCTCATTCAAGGTGAAATCCAGGGTCCAAAGTCACCAAGAATTTTTAGTATTTTTCTTTCCCATCATAGAGTTTCTGTGGAAATGACCACAGGTCCCTATACAGAAGACTAGGATGGAAATTCATAGGACATACTTATTATTGTCGCAGCATTTCCCTTATTCAAGGAGCTGCCCGTTTATTTCAGTCATAAACCCATCATTAGCTACCACCAAGTTCCTAAATTAGATAATCCACATCAATGCTTCTTTTTATTGAGCAACCCATACTCAGTTTGTTTCTGTTAGTTTATTTTTCCTTATTCTCTACAACCTTGGGGTGTGAAGATTCTCATAGAAATCAGGGAGTTGTTGAGATGCCTGGGTGGTTCAGTCCCTTAAGCATTTGCCTCTGGCTCTGGTCATGATCCCAGGGTCCTGGGATGGAGCCCCACATCAGGCTCCCTGCTCAGCAGGGAGTCAGCTTCTCCCTCTGCCTCCTCCTGCATGCTCTCTCTCTGTCTCTGTCAAATCAATCAATCAATCAGTCTTAAAAAAAAAAAAGTAGTCAGGGAGTCCTTTTCATCTGTAGTGTCTCTCATGACAAAAACCCATTTTGTTGATTTTTTGCTGAACTTCTGTGTCCTTAGTGAATCTATAGTAGCTTTGATATTTTTTGGTTGATATTTTCATTTCTATCAGCAAGTAAGACCATGAGTATCTCTACATTAGAGAAAACAATTCTCCACAATTCATTTCTGAAAGATGTTGGCATGCCACCCACCATTTATTTCTCATGGCCTAGAGAAAGAGGGTCATGTGGCTTTTCTTTGGAGATATACTTAGGGGGTAATTTACACATAATAAATCCACTACAATATTAGTTTTGCTAATAATGTTAACATGTTTGGCTGATGCATTTTCACATGGGATTTAAGGGAAAATAAAGAATTCCGAGGTTGCCACTGTCTGTGTGGCCTGCGTAAGTTCACAGTGCAAGGGAAAGGATTGTGGGAACCAATTGGTTTCTTTGTACATGTAAAATTTCAGATGCCTATTAGCTATCTAGATTGATTGATGGAAATGGACATACCACATGATCTGGAGTTCCTGGATATTCAGCGCTAAAGATATAAATTTGAGAGTCAACAGAATCTAAATGGTATTTAGAGCACAGGACAAGATGAAATTATCTATGGAAAAAAGAGAAAAGGGCTTAAGTCTGATCCCTGGGGCACAGAGGATGTTTAGAAATCAGGTGTCAAAGAAGGAACCAGAAAAGTAAGATGAGAAGCAGCAGCCACTGAAAAGTGTCATGGCAACAAAGTCAAGAGAGTGGTTCAAGAAAGCTATCATGGTTTATTGTCTAATGCTGCTGAGAAATGGAGTAGGATAAAGATGAAAATTACCAATAGGTTGGCAACATGCAAGACTATTTCACTGGAAAGATCAACAAAACAGGAGAATTTAGAAGTGTGGTTTAATGGCAATTGGGAAGAGTTACATTGGAATATAGCACAAATGGTTGGAACCAAATGATTTTTAAAAATCTCTTCCAGCTTAGTTATCTGTGATTCCCCATGACTACATCAACTGTTGGGAAAATGAAAATATAGGGCCCACAGCTGATGTTCCATGAGAGAGATCTTGGATAGCTGATGCTTCAAACCCAGTAAGCTTCAGTAGAATGCATGCTGATCTCAACTCCGATAAGCCATTTTGCATGGTCCAAAATCTGCGGATGAATTAGGTACAATAAAAAATCAGTAATGTGGAAAATAAAGTGGTACCCCTGGGTTTTCAGTACTAAACTAAAAATGTATGAATGGCACATATAATAAAAGGTAAAAATAAAATTTGTTTGGATTTCTACAAAGCTAATGAAAAACTGGCTTAGGGAAAGAAATGAGGCCATCATGTTTGTTGGTACATGCTAATTCTTAGCAGGAAAATTTCAAAGAGAGAAGGGGAGATTAAGTCACTCCACAATAAAAAGGTAGCTGATCAAACTGGAAATTTTGCTAAATTCTTGGGAAAACCAAAATTAAACTTCATAATTAAAAGATGGAATTTCTAGGGGCACCTGGGTGGCTCAGTGGGTTGGGCTTCTGCCTTTGGCTCAGGTCATGATCTCGGGGTCCTGGGATCAAGCCCTGCACTGGGCTCTCTGCTCAGTGGGGAGCCTGCTTCCCCCCCTCTCTCTGCCTGCTGCTCTGCCTACTTGTGATCTCATTCTCTCTGTATCAAATAAATAAGTAAAATCTTCAAAAAAAAAAAAAAGATGGAATTTCTACACCCATGACACTAACAAACTGGTTGTTTTCAATGTACAGGAGTTCCCCCCTACTCCACATTTTCACTTTCTGTGGGTTCAGTTACCTACAGTCAAGATGATCCTCCTTCTGACAAGTGGGCAGAAGGTGAGTAGTAGCCTAACGTTATGTCATGATGCCTATGTCATTGACCTCATTTCTTATCATGATGTAGGCACTTTATCATCTCACATTATAAGAAGAAAGATGAGTACAGAACAATATGGTATTTTGAGAGGAATACCTGGGTGGCTCAGTAGGTTAAGCTTCTGACTCTTGATTTCAGCTCAGGTCATGATCTCAGGGTTGTGGGATGGAGAACCATGTGGGGCGCTCTGCTCAGCCCAGAGTCTGCTTGTTACTCTGCCTCTGCTCCTCCCCTTGCTTGTGCTGTCTTTATATCTCTAAAGTGAATAAACAAAATCTTTTAAAAAAAGATATTTTGAGAGAGAGACCACATTCATATAACTCTTATTATATTGTTATAATTGTTCTATATTATTATTATTGTTAATATCTTACTATGCTTAATTTACAAATGAAACTTTATCATGGATAGGAAAAAACATAGTATATATAGGGTTTGGTGTGATCTGCAGTTTCAGGCATCCATTGGGGGTGTAAAATGGATGCCCTGAGGATAAGGGGGAACTACTGTAGCTCTCAAAAGTGCTTTAACGGAGGCCAAAGTGTTTTTGGCTTGTGAGACTAAGTGATAAATTGCTTGGCCAGCATGTTCTTCCTCTCCAAGCTCATGGAAGCTTTTTGTTACATTTTCAGAGACAGTTGGTTAACAAATCTAGATAATCAAACTAAAAACTACTCTTATTAAAAGCTTAGAGTATTGAAAGTATTGAAAATAACTTGAAAAGTATTCTTTTTTTTTAAGATTTTATTTATTTATTTGACAGACAGAGATCACAGGTAAGCAGAGAGGCAGGCAGAGAGAGGAAGGGAAGCAGGCTCCCCGCTGAGCAGAGAGCCCAATACAGGGCTCGATTCCAGGACCCTGGGATCATGACCTGAGCGAGGGCAGAGGCTTTAACGCACTGAGCCACCCAGGCGCCCCGAAAAGTGTTCTTTGTAGTGAAATAACATTGTAAACCACAAAATATAACTATGGGTCTAAGAGCTCCAAAGCTTTTTTTATTTTTAATTAGAGAAGCATGATAATTAAAAATGAATTCTCAAGAGAGGTGACTAAAATTTTATTTAGCTGTCTTTCAAATTACAGTAAAAAAGTGGTAATTTTTTGAAATTATAAGCAAATAATACTCTTGAGAATGTTAAATTCACTTAACTATTTTTCTTAATTTAGTATATATTTAAGAATCTGGTTTATTGCATCTATTTTACAATTTTATTGATCCTTGTATAGAAAGAACAACATATTGAGTTATTCTGGTTAAAACATTATTATTGGTAAGTAAGTCACTAATAAATGTTTATTATTACCCATTGACAAGCATAGACATGTAACCTGACATACCAACACAGGAGAATTAAATACCTAACTAGAAGTATAAAAAGTAAATAGAATGAAATGATTTGCATAAAATGATTTAATATTGAAATACCATATTTTCAGGGGCACCTGGATGGCTCAGTCGTTAGGCGTCTGCCTTCGGCTCAGGTCATGATCCCGGGATTCTGGGATCGAGCCCCGCATCGGGCTCCCGGCTTGGTGGGAAGCCTGCTTCTCCCTCTCTCACTCTCCCTGCTTGTGTTCCCTCTCTCGCTGTGTCTCTCTGTCAAATAAATAAATACAATATTAAAAAAAAAAAAAAAAAAGAAATACCATATTTTCAGAAGTCAAAAAAGAATTACCAGTTAAGCTATTATAATTCATTACCAAAAAGTTTGTTGTTAACATAGTCTTGAATATGGGATGTATAACATTACATGTAATGTAATATGTAGTATGACGATTTTCATTATAGGCACTTCTTAATCATTCTCCAAATTCTCCTCTATAGTATCTCTATTTGGTAGTAAAATTAATTCTCATCAATTATTTTAGAAGTCAGTTCTGTTTGTTGGTGTCTAATTCAAAGAGAGAATGACTCCATGCAGTGGTTCTTAATGAGCACACACCTATGAATTACCCACTTGACTTGCAAATAATGGCCCGAGAGAATGATGAAAAGAATGGTAGGAAGCAGTTGTATCCACGATTTGATTGAAGGAAGGTCTTTGTCACAAGTGCATGAGGGAGTTAACAGGGTGGTTTTCTAACTTGCTCCTTTCTACATTAGAAAAATAAAAGATCTTTGAACCACATGGTAATATTAACAGTAGTAAGTAAAGGCACATAAAGCCAGCTATGTAAAACATAAGGATACATACTTCTGACATGATCAAGCAGGTTAAAACATAATAAATTAAAATTTGAGTTATATTCTACCCAATTGGTAAATTGTGCATAATAATAGTAAACAGCAAGGATTTTGTTGTATAAGATAAAAAAGAAAGTCCATGTAATGCGAACTCAGCACACAGTAAATGTTTAAGAGTGGAAGCTCTGGTGAGCAGGTGAGGGGTGCCTGGGTGGCTATGTTGGTTCAGCACCTGCCTTCAGCTCAGGTCATGATTATGAGGCCCCTGTTGGGCTCTCTGCTCAGCCAACAGGAAGTGTGCTTCTCCCTCTCCCTCTGCCACTCTGCATCTGTTCTCTCTCACTCATGCTTGCTCTCAATAAAAAAATAAAATCTTAAAAAAAAAAAAAGAAGGATAATGAAGTCATCTCAAAAGTCTCACCATAAAAAGTCTTTATCTGTTAGGAGTAAATTTCATACTCTTTGACATAGCAATATCCACTTTTTTCTAAAGATTCCTAAAGATTTTCCTACAGAAATTATTAGATATATATGCAATGATTTTCACAGAAGTTAATATGAACAAAGATACTGTTAGCAACCTAAGTCTTAAAAGGGCAATGTTTAAAAAAAAAAGGCAATGTTTAAATCAATCATGATTCACTATGTATCACAAAACACTATGAAACTGTTTTAAACAATGTTGAAGAATAATACTGGATGGAAGGATACATTTTTAATGGCATATTGCTAAATGGTAAAATTCGTACACCAGAGATGATGTAACTAACTATGTTTTGAATATATGTAAATAACATTGATGTGATATTACTTATATTTTAAAATTTACATATAAATTATAAATACACTCATAATGAAAAATATATACCTAAACTGAACAGTCATGACTGTTATTACTTGTGTCTTTTATTCTTTTTTCTGTGTTTTTTTCTTTTCTGTGTATTTCCAATTTTCCATCTGACTCTGCTTTATTTTTATAATGTTAATATCAAGTGAATGATCTTCTAAAGGACTTTTTCACAGATGCTGATAAGACTAGGAGAAGTATTTATTGAGTACACTGATTTGAATTGAAAATTTAGATTGTAAAGTTTCCTAGAATCATAAATCAAGAATTATGGCCAATGCTGAAATGAATACTGGAATGAATGACTGAGAATCCATAAGGCCAACTTTAAGTATTCTTGTAAGCTGCATTCTAAGAATGACCCACAGAGTCTTCAAGCAGTTTGGGACCGACCCTACTACACTAAATCAAGCGGATCCTTCTTCAACAAGCTCATTATGAGGTAATCTCAATGATTGTTAATGCCTTAAAATCTGTACAGAATGTGGCCCTCTCTTCATATTCTGAAAAACTGAGAGAAAAAGCTAGCATTAAGAGGTTGGCAAGTGAGTATGAGAATCCAAGCAGCAGATGGCTCTGGTGGTCTTCAGCAGGTGCTCATTTACATATTTTGGCCATAACTACCCTCGCCTTTCCCCCAGCATGGTAATATGCTCTGGCTTGAATGCACGTTTAGACCAAAAGCTGTGAGATATAGTGAAAGATGTACTGACTATAGAGTCTTATGTTTGATTTATGATCCTGGCTCTTATGCTAAGTATATGCACAGTCTTGAACATGTCCCTTGAACTTTGTGAATGCCCCTTATCTCAACCAGATTTGCTAGTCATATTACTCATGCACAGATTAAAAGGAACTAATGGAAAATTTGGCTTAGAAGACTTGGATTCACCATAAGTCATTGCCATTTAAAAACCCCAAATTTGGGAAGAAATAGAATGGTGTAGTGGGCAAAAACACACAAATTGCAGGTCAGATATTTTGGTTGTCTCCTTGTCAATAATAATAGCATGACCTTTAACACACATAATTTCATCCATCCTCAATATCCATGTATAATGTGAGTACAAGAAAGGGAAACGAGACAACAGGAGTTGAGCTGTATTATCTTTAAGATCATATTAAACCATAAAATAATTATGCTTTCTTAAAGTATAAAATAATTACGTTCAATGAAGTAAGTAATCTGGTAACCTTTTTTCTGGAGAAAAGTATGTTCGTTCTGAAATTTTAAATGTTAAAATTAATTAATAGGAACATTAATAGGAATACATAATATAACAGTATTGACATAAAGGCTATGTATAACAATATCACTGAAACAAAATGATATTTAAGTAGATGTAATATTGAATAATATTTTGCAACACACTTTATCTATGAATAGAAAATAATTGATAGATCCCCTAGATGTATGTTACCTTTCTCTTTTAATACAAGCTAAATATAAGGGTTCCTTCCTAAATATAACATTATTCTATAGTATTAGTATCATAAACTTTTATTATTATGAGCCTTAGAGATACCAGAAATATTGCCTAATTTAGTCTTTAGGTACCAAAAAAAGTTTTGAGTTAGTAACTTAAAGAAATATTAAAATTTTAAGGAAACAATTTGAACTAGTTTAAAACATGTTTTGTGGAAAGTGATGAGTTGTTTTTTTAATATTCATTGCTATTTATGTAAGATCTTTCAAGTATGGTTACTTCATAATCTGTGCACTATAAAATAAATTGATTATGAAAAAATTCTCCTTGACAAAGTAATAAAATTATCTGGACATATTAAAATGATATAGTAAAATACATTAATATCACATTAAATAAACTAAACTAAAAAAATTAAACGCAAGTTTTATCTGGAGTTCATTCATTTATTGAACAAGGTTTAATTGAGTGTCTGATGTGTATGCAGCATTGCTAAATTAAAGTTTTCAAATAAAATTAGGTGAATACTTACTTGAGAGGAAAATCAGTAATCTAAGTTTCTTTGTATTGTTATTTGGTCTTTGTGATATGCTATCTACCTATATGTAATGGCATCTTCCTATTCCCTGAAAACTTTTGGTTATTTGGAACTTTAGAAAAAAGGAAGCATAGAGAAATTTTATAACTAAAGACCAGCTTAAATGAATAGTATTAGAGATCACAAAGGATCGCACCAACCAAATTATTTTCATTCTAGGATGCAGAAAAATAAGCAGGTTTCAAATGTAATATATGTAATTATGAGTATGAATTATGTCATCGCTCAAAAGAATAATATCTTTCAATTTGAATTTTCATAGATTTTGGAGAGAGGATGATAGTGAATCATATTCAAAGGGGACAAATCTTTTTGCTATAGACTATTTTACTTACTGAGAGAAATGCATTTCCATCCCTGAAAGAGAATAGCAATGAGTTCTGCAATCTGAACAAGTTATCAAGTTTTCAGGCAAGCATGATACAATATAAGAAAATACAGAAAAAGAAATGCTCAAAAATCTTGCGAACAATCCATTTATTTTACAATAGTTGCTTCAAATCCAAAGAAAATCAAGAGCTTCCCTGTTACTGAGACTTAAATATTTTCTGAAGAACTAACTGCCTAGACTTTTCAGAAACCTACTTTCCAGATACCAATTGAATTGTTTTTTAAGTTTTAAAACTGACATTCAGAAAGATTGGTCAAATCTATCAGAAGTGGTAGTATTTTTCAATAGTGATATCCAAGTCAACTGTATTCTAGGATTGTTGCAAGTTTTCACAGAGCTAGAACAAATAATCCTAAAATTTGTAGGGAACCACAGAAGACCCCAAATAACTAAAGCAATCCTGAAAAAGAAAAGCAAAGCTGGAAGCATCACAATTCCAACTTCATGCTATATTACAAAGCTGTAGTCATTGAGACAGTATAGTACTGACATAAAAAGAGACACATAGATCGATGGAACAGAATAGAAAACCCAGAAATGGACCCACTACTATGTGGTCAACCAATCTTCAGCAAAGCAAGAAAAAATATCCAATGGAAAAAAAATAGTCTCTTCTACAAATACTAACGGGAAAACTGAACAGATACACACAGAAAAAAATGACCACTTTTTTATACCATACACAGAAATAAAATCAGAATGGATGAAAGATCTAAATGTGAGAAACCACCAAAATACTCAAGGAGAAATAGCCAGCAACCTCTCTGACATCAGCCTTAGCAACTTTTTACTAAACAACTGTCCTGAGGAAAGGGAAACAAAAACAATGAACTATTAGGACCTCACCAAAATAAAAAGCTTCTGCACAGCAAAGGAAACAATCAACAAAACTAAAAGGCAACATATGGAATGGAAGAAGATATTTGCAAATGACATATCTGATAAAGGGCTACTATCAAAAATCCATAAAGAACTTACCAAACTCAAGTCCCAAAAAAAAACAAATAGCCCAGTTAAGAAATAGGTAGAAGACATGAAGAGATATTTTTCCAAAGAAGACATACAAATGGCCAACAGGCACATGAAAAAGTGCTCAACATCACTTATCAAGAGGAAAGTACAAATCAAAACCATGATGAGCTATCACCTCACACCAGTCAGAATGGCTAAGCAGAGGAGAGAACAGATTTTGGCAAGGATGTGGAAAAGGGGAACCCTCTCACACTGTTGGTGGGAATGCAAACTGGTGCAGCCGCTCTGGAAAACAGTATGGAGGTTCCTCAAAAAGTTAGGAATAGAACTGCCTTATGACTCAGCAATTTTACCACTAAGTTTTATCCAAAGGATACAAAAATACTGATTCAAAGGGACACATGCACCCTGATGTTTATAGCAGCATTATCAACAATAACTAAATTTGGAACAATGCCATTTGCAATGATGGATAGAGCTAGAGTATAATATGCTAAGCGAAATAAGTCGGTCAGAAAAAGGCAAATACCATGTGATTTCACTCATGTATGGAATTTAAGAATCAAAACAGATGAACATAGGGGAAGGAAGATAAAAAACAAAAGAACAGAGATGAAGGCAAACTGTAAGAGACTCTTAACCACAGAGAACAAACTGAGGCTTGGTTGGGGATGTCTAAATGGGTGGTGGGTATTAAGGAAGGCACTTGTGATGAGCACTGGATGTTATATGTAAGTGATGAATCAGCAAATTCTATTCCTGAAACCAACATTATACTCTATGTTAACTAACTAGAATTTAAATAAAAACTTGAAACAAAACAAACCAAAAAAGTCAATTATATTACTTTAGGTATAAATGGACTCAATATGCTTATGCATAGTATAGTGAAAGAATGAATTTGATTATCACAGAAATATAAAGTAATTGCCACTAGTTCTCTTAAAAGGCTAGGATGGGGGCACCTGGGTGGCTCAGTTAAGTGTCTGTCTTGGGCTCAGGTCATGATCCCAGGATCCTGGGATTGAGCCCCAAATCGGGCTCCCTGCTCCATGGGAGCCCTGCTTCTCCCTCTCCCACTCCCCCTGCTTGTGTTCCCTCTCTCACTGTGTCTCGCTCTGTCAAATAAATAAATAAAAACTTTAAAAAAAGTTAGGATGGAATTGATGCATAATTTCATCAAAGGTTGCAAAGGATTTCCATTGATCACTCACCATTCAGTAAAGAGGACTAATAAGCCACTTTTGACCATCTTTACTCTTGTTGACATTTCATATTTTCTTATTTATTTTTTCTTCTGGGTTTTAAAATTACTCCTGACTTAAAAAAATTAAATTAAAAAATAATAAAAAATTAATCCTGGCAGCCAGTTTTAAAACTTCTTTCTTTCATGGGAAAACTTGCAACAGAATTATTTAAAATAATAGCCAATAATGAAAACATGTATGGCATCATGCAATTGAAAAATAATTTTACACTGAATATTTTCCTTATTGATAGATCATACACTATTTTGTTTCTTAAAATAAGTTGAGATGCATGTAGAACTTAAATGAAGTTGCTTTCATGGTAGTAAGGATTAAGGTGTGCTGAGATAAAGTGGTGCATCTTCCATTTTTCACACATATTCAAAAAGTAAAATTGAACTGGTAAATAAGTTTATCGACACGAAAATTAATATTGAAAAAATATATAAGCCCCAAGATTGGGTAGGGGTATTTCATGAAAGCACATATTTTTGTAATGATTCTCAAGAATGAAAAAGAGAATCAGAGAAAGAAAGAGAGACAAAAAGCACACAAGCATCCAGTGTAACAATTTTTTTTTCCTTCAGAAATAGCTTAGATTTCATTTTTGTCCTAAGGAAATAGAAATGTAATATGGAACATTTTACTTTGACAGAACTGACATCTTGAAAACAAAGGCAAAAGGTGACAAGAATTTTAACAAGAGTGAATGAGAACTATTTTATTTTTATTTTTTTTTAAGATTTTATTTATTTACTTGAGAGAGAGAGCAGTAGCAAGGGGTGAGGCAGAAAGAGAGTGAGAAGCAAACTCCCTGCTGAGCAGGGAGCCTGCCTTGGGGCTTGATCCCAAGACCGTGGGATCAAGACCTGAGCTGAAGACAGATGCTTAACCAACTGAGCCACCCAGCACCCCAACACTCTTTTTAATTTGGAGCTGCACAATGAATCAGGGTGCAAGAACTTATAACTAGAGAAGAGAATGGAGAATAATTTATTTCTCAATAAATATCTTTCCAAAAACTTTTAGAAATAATGTTCTCTTCTATAGATCATATCTTGTACATCAGCATCACCTTCTTGATGACAGATGGCAAACAGCACAAAGGAAGTTTAGGGGCTGGACAAGAGAATTTAGGCAGAAGTAAAGTAAAATCCTCTCAAATATATGACAAGTCTGTAAAAAATAAATAAAAAAATAAAAATAAAAACTGCCAGAAATAGATGCCTACACTTTAAACTTCCTTTTTGTTGCTCAATCCATTGGACCATGTTCTCTCTCAGGATGTGCTGAATTGAGCAATTCTTATTCACAACGCTAGAAGCAAATGGGTATACACTGATTCTGTTTTAAGCCTGAATGGGTGTGAACCGACAGGTAGCTTGATGAAGGCAGTCATATGACGACTCTTTGTAAGAAAATGTTTGACAAGCTGTCAAAACTCTTTTGAAGAAAGAAATAGTGGATAGAGTTGCTCTAAGGAATACATGTCAATTCAGTTATCTTATTTCTACATCATATTTTGATGCTAGATGAGTAATCTCTGTGGATCGCATGCTAAAAATCAGGTTAATGTAAAGTGAATCAGACTGACTTTGAAGCATTTAGCTAATGTTAACATTCACGCCAAAATTTTGTCACAGGATCAGCTCGGTATTACCAAGATTTAAAACAAATATTGATAATCTACAAATACAAGTTTATGCCTGATCAAATAATTCAACACAAACACTGTGGTTCAGAGGCTTATGTATCAAATGTCAAAAGTTAAAATCTAAAGAGAAAAGCTGTCAGGAATAGGGAAAAAAGGGTAATTCTCTGAAAACAGACAAAACCTGCAATCTGTCATCTGAGTAATGAGATCAAGAAAGAGCTGTAGAGTTGACATGTTGAGTGGAAGGTGATTAAAAAAAAAAACAACTCTATCACTCATTAAAATATGTTTATGGCTTGCCATTTCTCAAGGAATATCATGCAACTAATTTAACTTTCGCATTTTAGGCACTCTGTGATCTCAATGTCACATGACTGTTCTCATTCCCTACATTCCAGACACACTAGACTTCTTATCTGATCTCAACATTTACTGTCTTCAGGCCTTCACTACTCATCCCTTTGAATTCCTCTTTTTCTCTGCCTCTGACTGGTGAAACTTTGCCTAACTTTTTAAACTCTATTCAAATACTCAAACCCCTTATCTTCTAAGAAAACGTCTCTGATTTTCTGGTGGGAATTATGCTCTCTTGTGTATATACAGATTTTGATTTGACTCTATAATTGATTTCATCACATTCTGCCATAAATTATGGTTAATTTTATACATCTGTCTCTTCCCTATATATAGTCCTAGAGCACAGGAACTATATTAGTCACTTTGTATCTCATTTATATTTGAAAGGTTTTGTGGAATCTTACTACACTTGATTCTTGAAGGAGATAGGTTTGTACTGCATAAGTCCACATATAGGAAGTTTTCTTTTTTTATATAAATACAGTACAATACTGTAAATGTATTTTCTCAATAACATTTCTTTTCTCTAGCTTATTTTATTATAAGAATATAGTATGTAATACATATAACTCTAAAAATATGTGTAATTGGCTATGTTATTAAAAAGGCTTCCAGTTGACAGTGGGCTATTAGTAGTTTGGGGGGAATCAAGTTATACGGGGATTTTTGACTGCATGGGGGGCGTCAGTGCCACTAGTACCCATGTTATTCAAGGGTCAACTGTAAGTGAATTAATTGACAGATAATATTTCATTTAAATATCCTGTGCAAAACAAAAACAAACCCCAAAACCTCAAAAAGTCTTTGTAGACCTTGATTTCCCATTTTATATAAATTGGGGAAGCATCCTCTGGGGTCTTCTGCCAGGGTCTCCTTTGCCATTTGAGCACCCAAGTATTATTCTAATGCAATGACATATCTTTGAAAAATTCTCATACTTACCTATTTATCTCCTGGTGTTTGACTATAGCTTGACGTATTCGTTTCTAATAGTACCACACACTCCTTCTCATTTGGGATAATAACAGTCTCCGGGCAAAACATCACACTGACTGTACTCTGAAGGCTGCAAGTTAAACTTGGAGGCATGAAATGTTGACAATAATTTTTATATAAAATTTTAGTATAAATTTTATGTAAATTTCATATGCTTTATATACTTTTATATCTATACTTTTATATAAATTTTTATATACTTTATGTACTTTTATATCTACGTGAAATTTCAGATGCTAGACTAAAATGAGGAATATTTCTTTACTGTGCAATAACTGCAGGGTGTTCCACAATAATATCCCGAAGTTTCCTCTCTAGCAGAATGGAAACGTGTCTTTGTGTTTACTGATTTAAAAGAAAAATATTATGTTGGAGTTACAGTCCAACATAAACTCAGACCTCACCAGAGCTCTCAGCAGTTAACATCTTCTAACTAAGCCTTGTAATGTTAATATTTTATGAAAAGACTGGCTTAAGTGATCAATATAAGAACTACCTCCACCAGGAAATCATGTGTTTGCCCTGTTCCAGCAATCGTGCAACTCAGCTATTTGTTTTAACATTGTTAAGACCTCCATAGGCATCCAGGGAAGAAAGAGTGCCTTAAGACTGAAACTTGTCTTTGTGAGGCAAGAACAAAGGAAGTTGAAGTTTGAGGAAACAAACAGCTTCAACTTCAGAATTATTCCTTTCCTTTCTCATTCCTTGGCTTTGTGTCTCTGTTCTCGAGTTACACTGCCCTTGATCCTTCAATTGATGAAGACTTCTGATCCATCAGTGTTAGAACCAACCCATCGCCTACCTGCTGCTTCAATTTCTTCAGATCTCCCCGATGTTGATTAATACATGAAACTTAGACCTCCTGCTCTGCTTCGTCTCTTTTATCTACTTACCTGGCCATTGGATACTTCCCTTGCCGGGACATAGCACATCTGTCTGTGTGCTATGAGGAATTCATTACAGTTCCTCAAAGGGCTTCTCTACTCACTGGCTGAAGAGGTAAGCACAAATAACAGTTTTTACCTTCTTAACTTTTCTCAAATACCAGTTGACCATCAGCTTATCAAAATCATTGAATTTACATTTTTACTGTGAAGAAAGGATCAGGGAGAAGAATGGCATATCAGTTTTCCAGGGCTGCATAACAAATTACCACAGGATTTCAAAAAACAAATTTACTCTCCCACAGTTCTGGAGGCTAGAAGTCCAAAACAAGGGTATTGAAAAGTTTGGTTCCTATTGAGGACTGTGAGGGAGACACTCTGATCTCTCTTAGCTTTTGGTGGTTGCTGACAATCCTCAGTGACCCTGGTTTGTTGAGGTACCCACTCCAAGATGCCTGCTTTATCCTTATATGGTGTTCTCTCTGTATGTCTGTCTCTATGTCTTCTCTCTTCTTATAAGGACACTATCTGTACTGGATTAAGAGCCTACCCTACTCTAGTATGACTGCATCTTCAATAATTACCTCTGCAAAACCCTCTGTTCAAATAAATCACATTCTGAGATAGAAGAAATGAGAATTTCAACATATCTTTTCAGAGAATGCAATTAAATCTATAACAAGTAGTATATGCTGACTGGTCACATTTGATAGCAAAAATTTAGGACTATTCAAAATTATTAGAATTTATGACTTCAGATAAATATATTCCTGCTTCTATAGGTATGGTTTCTCTGCCTCAGATTCTTCTCAAAGTCTTTGTCTAATTCATATTAGTGGGATTTAGGGGTTTTATTGTTGTTCTTTATTTTGTTTGCGGTAACTTTAAATGCTCTCACACTTGTACTATAAACAGATATACAGTTCATTCAATAAATATTTACATCTCTATTCATTATAAGATACTGTTTGGGGAACAAGAGGGGTTTACAAAAAATATGTAAGGGCAACTCATTCCTTCAGGGATGTTTTAATTTAGAAGAAGATTATCTAAATTCTAAGGTACTTACTGTACTAAACTTCTTTAAAAAAAAAAAAAAGTACAAGAAATGCATTATAGATTCCAATAGAGGTGAAAATGACGTCCGCTGAAGAAATGAGGGAAAGCTTCCTACTAGCACAGTTTTAAGTTTAGGTGTTAAAGGACAAATTCAGGAGAAAAGCAATGTATACTGGGTTAGGTAAAAGTATACAACTCTTGGGGCGCCTGGGTGGCTCAGTGGTTAAAGCCTCTGCCTTCAGCTTAGGTTATGATCCCAGTGTCCTGGGATTGAGCCCAGCGTCAAGCTCTCTGCTCAGCGGGGAGCCTGCTTCCTCCTCTCTCTCTCTGCCTTCCTCTCTGCCTACCTGTGATCTCTGTCAAATAAATAAATAAAATCTTAAAAAAAAAAAAAGTATACATCTCTTGCCTACCACCCCCCCCGCCACCAAATTCTGAACTTCTTCGATTCCATCATCTTATAATATGAAAACAGATTGATAATAGGCAACATTTCAGGCAGAAGAAAATCAAATTTTGAATAAAGAAAGGATGGCAAGGAGAATACATTTCAGTGTGGTTGGATCAGAGCTAAGGGAACTAACCGGAGATGAGACTGGAAAGGTGGGCCATGTATGACCCAAGGTAGTTGCCAACAGCAACAGCTCAACCTCCTGCTCTCAGGACAGTCTCGATCAGAAATAAGAGATATATAAACATTTCCCAGCCAAAAACCTTGAGTTAAGTTTCAAGTCACCTTTACTACAAGTTCTGCGGCTTCCTAAGTCCAGTAATGTCATTTGTGTCTGAGTTTATAAAAATCTAGAAGAGCGCTCTGGGGAATGGGTAGTACCTATGTGTTGCTAGTGAAAATTTAAATTGTAGCATGTTTGCAGAGCAATCTTACAACATCTATTAGAAATGAAAATTTATAAATTCTCTGCCCAGGAGTTCATCTCTTGAGAATCTATCCTAAAAACATTTAAGAGCTAGTAGATAAAAATCTAGGTAGAAGGATATATGATAACATTGTTAATGGTGAAGAAAAAATTAAAAACAAAAACCCAATATGAATAACCACCATAACAGAAGAATGAGGGATGCCTGGGTGGTTCACTTGGTTAAACCTCTAACTCTTGATTTTAGCTCAGGTCATAATCCCAGAGTTGTGAGATAGATCCCTGTGTTGGGCCCTGTGCCGGATGTGGAGTTTGCTTATCCTTCTTCCTCTGCCCCCACCAATGCAAACAAACAAACAAACAAAACAGAGGAATGATCAAATGAAACTAAATTATTATTATTATTAATGACTTAATTTTGCATGTATTATGCTTTTATTTAATCCAGTTGAGTTGATCTGATTTCACAGTTCTGTTTGTAAAGGATTACTCTATTACTATGAAAGAGTAACAATAAAGCAACAATAAAGGATTTTATGTGAAATTTTAAAACTTCCTAGTTCATACATGAATATACTATCACCATCTAAACAATTTCAGGCAATTATTGTCTCCTCGCTGTTCTTGCTCCTATTCCAGAGATAAGGACAATAATTAGTGTGTATTTACTCTTCCAGGCTGTTTTTTCCATGTATTCGCAAATACATGTGGCAAAGATTGCTGCTGTCATGTATGTTTCCCCTTCTTCCTTTACTGAAGAGCTTCTGGATTCTGGAGTTTTACCTGGATGCCTAGCTGCTCAGCCCAAGATTCGGCTTCCCCACCTCCCTTATAGTTTTATTGTGGTCCCATGACTGGGCAGTGGGATGGGAGTGGAACTTCCAGATTGGGCCCTTCAATAAGGGATTGGGTGTATACTCCTCTTGCTGGCTGAGATTCTGGGGGGTACTTAAGCAGTGTTATGGGAGCTACAGAGGTTGTATGTTGAGGCTGGAGAAACTGGCCTGCCAGCCTTGAACTGTTTTTGTTCTACCCATTACTTAAGAGCAAAATAAATTCCTGCCTTAAAAAATAATAGTAATAATAATAATTTTTTGTGGATAATAGGCAACTTTTTTCTCACTTTTCCTTTAGAAAAGTTGAGTGCATATATTCCATTATTACTTTTGAGTATCTTGATTGAAGTCATGAAGACAATTCTTTTTCTCCTTTAAAAATTCATGTATTACAGAAGAAACATGTATTTATTATAGAAAATCTAAAAAACAATATAAGCAAAATGAGGAAAAATCTTACTCATTGATAAATATTATTTACCTTTCAGTATATATTGTCCCAAGACTTTTTTCCCCCTGAAAAATATTTTTCACTAAAATGATATCATACAAAATGAGATGTTGGTGATAAATTAGTTTCTTATTGCTGTTTTATCAAATTATTGAAAATTTAGAGGCTTAAAAACAAATTTACAACAGGCTTGGGTGGAGGAAGAAATCAAACTTTGTCAGGTCTGAAAAACCTCAGCCAACCAAGAGGAGCTCTAGAGCAAGTCTTAACTTTTCAGAGTGGTTTATGTCAGGTCCAAATTGTTAAATCCTACCCCAACCTGCATCAAGTGCTCGGTGTGGGCTGTCCAAGGAAGGGAGGGAGGTTAGGCAAAGCAGCTATCTGAAGCTGACACTGACCCAGAAGGAACTGTCAGGGGGAGGCTGTCTGCCAACCACACCCCTGTGGCTGAGCAAGAAATCTGTCCTTGAAGGGGGTATCTGCATGTCCCCTACATAATGTATTTAAGACATTATCTATTGATTACTCTTCTATAATTTAGTTTTTTCATTTAATGTATTTTGAACATTTCCCAAAGACATGCATATTTCTTAATGTCTAATACTCATGATATCTACAACAGATATTTCATAGTTGGGCTTTTGGGTTATGTTCATTGTTTTCACTCTTATGAATAATTATGCCACGAACCACGAACATTAGAAATATTTAATAATGTTCACCTTAGACGTGCTCTTTCCTACCTGGCCAAACTACCAATCACATTTTTTCCCCATTTCCCCTAATGACAGCATATTGGAATGGGATGTGGTAAAGCCAAAACTTTGCAATTTACCTTTCAAAAGTTGTATTTTAGGACAAGTTGCTATACTTGTGGTGGCATTAAGATCTAAAGTGTACCTTATGAATGTAATTTTACTCTATGAATACTAAGATATAGGAAATCTTGTCAAATTTTGTAAAAGTTAAACTTTAATTTTAAAAATACAAATCTATAGCAAATCCGGGCGCCTGGGTGGCTCAGCTGGTTAAGCGACTGCCTTCGGCTCAGGTCATGATCCGGAGTTCCGGGATGGAGTCCCACATCAGGCTCCCTGCATAGCAGGGAGTCTGCTTCTCCCACTGACCTCTCTCCTCTCATGCTCTTTCTCTCTCATATTCCCTCTCTCTCAAATAAATAAACAAAATCTTTAAAAATAATACAAATCTATAGCAAATCTGAAATTCCTCCTTTATGGTCAACCTGCCTCCCTCTCTAAGGTTTCCTGGTGCTCCTCACCTCCAACTGACTGACGCTGTCCTGCCAATCCCATTGTCCTGGAGTTTACCTTTATTCCCAGGGAGACACAAAGGATTGCTCTCCTACTCTTTGAAACTAACCCTAAACCAGGGGTAATGCCTTGAAATCACACAGACTATGGATATTTACACATTCCCCTTACATTAAGCCAATCCTGAGTGCATGTTTGAGTCTACCAAGGAGAGCCAAGAATTCTCCACACAGAGAAAAAGTGGTTGGGAGATGAACAAACTTCATTCCTCTCCGGACTGAAGGTTAGTCATCTTAGGAGTCATGTCTGCTTATCTTCTTGGCAAATGTCTTTGTCCAGAAGCACTGAGAGAATTAGGACACATTTGGGAACAAATCTGTACCAAATAGGGAAAATTTTTGATAATGTTTTCAAATATGAAATGCTTTTCACATAGACAGATACATAAATAATTCTGCCAGCACTTGGAAGTAAAACTGCATTCACAAAAATAACTTTGCATCCTTAAAAACATCCCACTCACAATTGCTCAGTATAGAATGTTTATTTTGCGCCTGTTTCTTTCATTTCTAAGACCAACTTTCAAATTTAATTGGCTACTAAATTGTCATGTCACAGATAGGGCAAATTTTACACTGTTAAATGCTCAGTGAACCTGTATTAAAAATAATTTTAGGTTTGTATTTTAAAAATGTCATGTGCCTATACTGTCCTCCCTTCACTTAGAAAATTAATATGAAATAACCCTGAAGACACATACAAAGTTACATAACAAAAACTCCTTTATGAACACCTGCCTTTGGTTCAGGTCATGAACTCCTTTATGAAATACTTCATTAGCAAAGTAAGGACAATTTTTTTTTTTTGCTAGAATTTATCAGCAAACTGGTATTTATATGTCTGTGTATGTACACAGAATTTTTTTATCTTCCAAGGTAAGGGATATTACACCTGCATACAGAGCAGTCACTATGACAAATTATTGATGAAAACAAACAATAAGCTCTTGTTCACTTTTATGGAAAAGCACTGGGTGGAAATGAAATTAACTGAAGTAAATATGATCTGACAGTTGGATGATAGTGCTGAACTAATTAGTGTAACACTAAATGAAAAGAAGGCATATTTGGGTGCCAAACCAAGATATCTCATTTTAAACAGACCCTTCAGCTTTCTTTTAAAGTATATAAAGGAAATGACAATCTCCAAATGAATTTCTCACCTACTTTAACTTACAAACTTTCACACTAATAGTGAAAATAGTAAAAAAGGATTACAAGCATCAGTGAGATCATGGATCATTTAGCATTTCTATTTAAGTTGCTGTGCTTTTTTCTGATTATAAGGCCATTTTTAATAACTATTAAGACAGTAATACCTTGAAACATAATAATTGTGTAATTACCATTATAACCTGCTACAGTCTTCCGTCAAAGCAACTGTTATCGATGGAATTTGCTCAATGTAGGGCCAAGGAAGATGCAAGCAGAGTAGAGGTAAAGATGATCGTTCTCTTCAGATCTTGATTCTAAAGTAGACATTTATGTCAGGAGGAATATAAGCCTTCATATACTGTGTACTCTAACTCCCCATTTTTCAGTTGTTGGAACAGGTCATAAATGTCTTGAGGGACAGAGGGCTGGTTAGCAGGGAAGCACAGACCTACAATGATAGAGCATTTCTAGTGGTAAAATTGCTTTGGCTCATCGGTCCTACAGTTCATTATATAGCCAGGAATTGGTCCCCAAGTTCATAACAGTAACAGTATCCGTTGGTGCCAAAAAGCTGGCGGGTTTCTAAAAACCCTGGACTTTCAACTGGGTCTGACTCCCTCCCATATTTGTATCTAATAAGGTAGAATTTTAGTTCTTTCATCCCTGCAAAATATCTGGACCTTCTCCTCTTGCTCTTTCTTTTTTCTACATTACTCCACTCCCCTGAGATCGATTCTTAATTTTATTTGCTTCTTCCTGCTCCTACATGTATTGCCCTGAAAGTTACAGAAGATAATGGCTTTCTGGCTTGGTATTCATCTCTTGTTCTCCAACTCCCTTTACCTCTGGCCATGCCAGGGAAAGAATAGGAATCAGAATCATGGAAAGTTTGCAAACAAGAAAATGATGTTAAATAACAGTCTGGCGAGAGAGAAAAAAGATGTGAGGTCAAAAGAGTGAAAGATTAAAGACAAACTAGAATGTGGTAGATATGTTAGGATTTATTCTTTAAGACAGTCACCAAGAAAAATGCAAGGATGTTGGTGACCACTTATGTGAAATGCCAACTTCATGTTGTAGAAAGGAGCCAGACAGCTTAGAAGGACCTGTCCCTTGAAATGCCCTTGTTTACCCCCATCCCATCTGCCTGAACAACTATTCATTCCTCAGCTTCCTCCTGTGGTCTCTCTTGTATCATCTGCTTTTTCCTTTGATAACATTTGCTGCCATCTGAAACTAATGTATTTTATTTATTTGTGAATATGTTTATTGTCTCTCTTTCCTAATGGAGTGTATGCTATGTGACATTAGGAGCATTTCCTTCTTGTTTACAACTATAGCCAGAACTCATTAAGGACTGAACATGTTGTGATGAGCACTGGCTGTTATATGTGAGTGATAAATTATTAAATTCAGGGCGCCAAGGCAGCTCAGTCAGTTAAACACCTGCCTTTGGTTCAGGTCATGATCTCAGGGTTCTGGGATCAAGTCTGCTTCTCCCTCTCACTCCCCCTCTGTGCTCTCCCTCTCTCAAATAAATAAAATCTTAAAAAAAAAAAAATCACTAGATTCTACTCCTGAAACCAGTACTATACTATATGTTAACTAACTTGAATTTAAATAAAATCTTGGAAGAAAAACAAACAAACAAACAAACAAACATTGATAGCCAGCACTGAGCACAGTGCCTGGCACAAAATTGATGCTTAATAACTTTGATAAATGCATGCATGCATAAATGAATGAACAAATGAAGATCCAGTTCAAGCATCATATCTTGTAAACTTTTTGCTACACACCTTAGTAATTTCTTTCTTGTTATAATGACGGCACCTCCTATATACAGTTGTATTCTATTTCAATAAACACATCTGTTTACTTTTGATATCTAATAAAATATGAGTCCCCTAAAGATTGGGTCATGTATTATTTCTGTTGGAATTCCCAACCACTTAGCATATAGTTTTGTGAGCAGATGAACAGTTTTGAGAAAATATTATTAGGTTTCCAGAGCCATACTGACTACCTGAGAAAATTAAAATTTCATAAGCTATCAGATGTGATAAATATAGTTTTTTATAATTCAGATAGTAGAGACGTTTATATTATTTGCTTAAGGAGATATATCATAATCTAACTATATGTTTTCTCCTTGCCTATAATTCTGATCAATTTTATCCACTTCCTTGGCAAAAAAAAAAAAAAAAGCTATTTAATATAGGCAAATTCAAGGCTAAGAAACATTTCTGTTGTATTCTTTTTAAGAATTGGTTTCTAGCCTTACTCTTCACCATCTTCAACTTTTAGATGCTGTGGTGCTTGAAAATAATTGTGAGTTTCTCAAGCATGCTTAATAAAAATTCCAGGAATACCAGAGACTTCTTGACAACAGACATTAGTTTAAAGGAAAAGTCATTTTCCACTGCTTTGCAAACTTTTCACTTAATAAGATGCCTTACATTTAATCAAGTTAGAAAGAGACAGGATACAAAAATGTGGACTTTTTTTTTTTTAACAATATAGGACGCAGATTAAGGAAAACTGTTAATATTTTTCTCCATTATGGATATTAACTCTTGGTCTTTTTGCCTGAACATTTATTTAGATGAATTTTCAATAAAAGGTATAAGATGTATGTGCTTTGACTTTCTTAAAAGTGTTATTATTGAGCAACCAAGTATTCCAGGTGCCCAAAGAGTTTCCTGGGATACAGGATTTTCAGTGCTAAAATCAGGCAAAACAGGATGCTTATTCTCCCTAGACTGATATAACACTTTTTTTTCTTTTTTAACTTAAATAATACACTTGAGTCTAGAATTTTACAAGAATGCATCTCTAAGGTATAAAGAGAGAAAGGTAACTCATTTTTGTTTGAAAGGTTGACACTTTTATGTTTCATTTTTATCCCAAGATGATGATGATTATTTATTTATAATAGTTGTAAGGGTACATGGCACTTACGAACACCTAAAAGACAAAGCTCCAGTGAGGTTTCCCATGTAACTCGATTTACAATACACCATGTAAGAGCAAAAGGGGAGACAGAAAAAGTTGGAAAAAAATCAATACTGGAAGGCTTAGTGAAAGAAATGTGTTCTAAGCTTTCAAGGAGAGGTGTCAAGAAATAAAAGGAAGTTTGTTCAAGTAGGACTAATCTAGTTTTAAACCTTTTGAGAATTATACATGCATAAGTAATAGGAAAATGGATTTTTCTACCTTTTTTTCTTATCACATCGTCTTAGTGAAGTTTTTTTTTAAAGTCATCATTTTACAATGACCCTCTTTAACCTTACTACTGTTTTCTGCCTTAAACCCTTTTCCCTGGAAGTTGTACAGCTACACCAGCTTCTTATGGTTAATATTTGTCAGGTATATAATTTTTATTCCACTTTTTCAAATTTACCATGTGACTATGTTTAAGATGTGCCTTTTAAAATAGCATATAGCTGGATGCCTGGATGGCTCAGTTGGTTAAGTATCCGACTCTTGGTTTCAGCTCAGGTCATGATCTCAGGGTTGTGAGATGGCGTCCCTGTGTCGGGCTCCATCCTGGGCGTGGAGCTTGTTTAACATTCTCTCTTCCTCTCCCTTTGCCTCTCACCCCCTAATAAATTGCATATAGCTGGAAAATTGGAATCCAGTCATCAAATTTTCACCTTTTAACTGTCGAGTTTATTACATTTTCCTTTATCATGTTTCTTAGTATTTTATTCCTGCCAAATTACTTTGTATTTTATGTCCTTTTTTTCCCTCTACTGCCTCCAGTTGCACTGACAAACCGTCTTTATTCCATTTTTTTCCTTCTAAACTATTGGAAGTTATACATTATTTTTCTGTTATTTTAGTGGTTCCCCTTAGGTTTCTAATATATGTAACCTAACAAAGTCTAACATTAATCAATATCCTTATACTCCTCACCCCATGATATAAGTAACTTCTAACTCCTCCCCTGTACTTCGTTTAATATTTTCATCGTCTTATTTTTAAACCACACACAATTAGTCATTATTTTTACAGCAATTTTCATTTAGGTTTACTTCATATTTACCAATATCCATTCTTACCATCCATTTATGAATTCTGTTCCTACCGTCTGGGTACAATTTTCTTCTTCCGATAGTCAATTACTGAGCAGTACTTTAAATGATGGAGTCTCTAGTGACTAAAAACAAAAATCCAGTAAATGAAAAGTCCTCTATCTGAAAATATCTCCACCCTCCCCCACAACTCCTGAAGAATTATTTAGTGGGGTACAGAACTCTAAACTGGTAGTTATTTCCTCTAAGCATTGTGAGACTATTATTTATTTTTATTTTCTAAGCTTTCTTACTGTTTTTGAGATATCTGCTGCAGCCCAAATGCTATTTCTGTGTAGTTAATCTCTTCCTCCCTCTCACCTTTTCTTTCCTGGTAATCTTCTTTCTCCTGATTGTCTTTATTTTTTTGTTGCCTCTGGTGTCCAGCAGTTTCAGTTGGATATTATTGGCATAACTTTATTTGTATTTATTCTGGTTAGAAGTCATTGTGCCTCTGGACTGTAAGGAATCTTATTTATTTTTCCTCAACCTGGAAAAACTTTTATTATTATTTCAAATATTGCCCCTCTCTTACTCTACTTCTCTAAGTTATATATATATATATATATATATATATATATATATGTATATATATATTTTTTTTTTTAATTTCTCAGAACAGCCCAGAGAGATACATATACATACATTCTTACATATATATATATATATGATTTTCTATTCTGTCTTCTACATGTCTTAGTCTCTCTTTCATTTGCTTAATCTTTGTATCTCTCTGGGCTGTTCTGAGAAATTCAAACATTTCAACATTTTCTCTTCAGCTTTATTTCATCTACTGTTTGACCTGCTTATTGTTCATTTTTATTTCAAGAATCCTTAAAATTTTTTACTTTTTAAAGTTTTAAGTGATGAGTTTTCAGATCAGTCTGAATTTTTTCCTAGTGCCTAATTCTTTTCTTATGGTTTCCATTCATATATGGTTTTAACTATATTAAATAAACTTTTATTATTTTCTGTCTCAAACTGTTTTATTACTCCTTATATGTTCCAAATATGTTTCTTACAATTGCTAGGTCTCAGGTAGATCATTTTCTTGTGATTTTTAAAATATTTTATTGTGATCATATCTTGCAAATCAACTATTCACTCCAGAGGCATTTTGTGCAGCATAGATTATAAAAATCTCTTCAAAGTAGTTTTACATTTATTTTTTCCAAGTGTGTTAGGAGAAATGGTCATCCAGGAATCATTTTTTTAAACATCTTTATTGAGATATAGTTCACATGCCATAATATTCATGAATTTAAGGCACACAGTTCAATGGCTTCAGTATATTCACAGAATTATGCAACCATCATCACAGTCTAAGGCTAGAAAAAGTTATCACTCCAAAAAGAAAGACTATACCTGTTAGAAGTTGCTCATCTCTTCCCCTTCCCCAAGGAAATGCTAATATACTGTCTGTCCTTAATGATTTGCTTATTCTGGAATTCCCTTATATAAATAGAAACATGTAATATGTGGTGTTTTGACTTCTTTCATTGAGCATATTTTCAAGGTCCGTCTATGTTGTATCATGTACCCATACTTTATTCTTTTTTTTTTGACAAATAATATCCTGTAGTATAGCTATACTGTATGTTGGTTATTCTTTCATTAGTTGATGGACATCTGGGTGGTTTTCACTTTTTGATTATTATGAATAATGCTCTTATGAATATTCATGTGTAAGTTTTAGCATGGATGTATGTTTTTATTTCTCTTTGAATATAAACCCAGGAGTGGAATTACTACACCATATGGTAACTCCAGTTTAGCATGTTAAGGAATTGCCAAACTGTTTTCTGTCATGGTTATAGCATTGTACATGCCCAACAGCAGTGTTTGAGGGTTCTGATTTCTCCACATCCTCACCATTTGTTATGATCTATTGTTTTTATTATAAACCATCTAGTGAGTAGGAATTGGTATCTTATTATAATTTCGATTTGCATTTCCCTAATGGCTAATTATGTTGAGCATCTTTTTATATGCCTGTTGGAATTTTGTATATATTTTCTGGAGATGCATCTATTCAGATTATTTTTCCCAGTTTTTTGAATGTGTTGTCTTTTTATTATTGAGTTATAAGTGTTTATATATTCCGGATACTAGTCCCTTATCAGATAAATGATTTCAAATGTTTTCTCCCATTCAGTAGGTTGTCCTTTCACTTTCTTGATGGTATTATTTTCAGAAAAAGCAATTAAATTTTGATATAGTCCAATTTACCTACTTGTTTTCCTTTCATCCACATTGCTTTTGGTGTCAAATCTAATAAACCATTGCTTAATCCAAGTTCATGAAGATTTAGGTTTTTACTCTGATGTTTTCATGTAGGAATTTTATAGTTTTAACTCTTTTAAGTCTATGATCTACTTTGAGTTTATTTTTGTGTATGGTTTAAGGAAGGGGTCCAACTTCATTCTTTTGCCTGTGGATATTTGGGGTTTTTTAGCACCATTTGGTGAAAAAGACAATCTTTGTTCTCAACTTGTCTTGGTACTAAAATGACGAATTTTACATGTCCACCTGGCTGGACCACAGTAGCCAGATATTTGGTCACATATTTTGAATTTTTCTGTGAAGGAGTTTTTTAAATGAGATTAACATTTAAACTGGTAGATTTTGAGAAAACAGATTACTCTCCATAATGTGGGTTAACCTCACCCAATCAGTGGAAGGACTTAATAGAACCAGGATCTCCCCCTACCAAGAAGGGGACTCTAGCAGAGTGCCTTTGGACTCAAACTGCAACTTTTCCCTCGTTCTCCAGTCTGCAAGCCTACCTTAAAGATTTGGACTTGCCAAGCCTCCACAACTGTGTAGGCAAATTCCTTAAAATCCATCTATTCATCATGTATCTACATATCTATTTATCTACACACACACACACACACACACACACACACACACACACACACACACGTTTATCCTGTTTCTCTGGAGAACCCTGACAAGCCTAACTAACATACCACCATTGTCAAAAATCAATTGGCTTCAATAGTAAGGGTTTACTTCTGGACTTTCAATGTTCTTCCTCCTATTCCATTTATCTATAGATCTAACCTTAAACCTGAACTACCAATTTTAATATTTATGTTTCTATTTCAGGATTTACACATACTGGATTCATGTATATGAACCGTAGTTTAGGATCAGAGTTCAAACCCATGCATGGCAAACAGTTGGTTTTGGACTCTTGTGAAATATTTCTGTTTTCTACCCAGAGAACTGAACATACACATGGTAACTTGATTCATATTAGGTCACTGGAAACATTTTGTTACCCCTTTATCACCAAAGGTAAAAAAAAAAAAAAAATCAGAGGACCCCAGATTTTGCAAGTTCCTTCATTCCAATTTCATTTCTTGATTGCCCCCCAAAACCCCACCTTTTGTCTCTGCATGGCCATTAAACTCAAGACTTTGGGCATTGTAACTCATCTCTGAATTTGAAAATCACCTCCAAGATGTACAGCAACTTGTGTTCTTAATCTTTATTTTTAACACTTCAAGATTTGCATTCATTCATTGGAAACATACATGTAGATACATGTTTATATATTAATATCTGTATCACTTTGAGTTACAATTTATAATGTCTTCTAAGTATTTATGGGAGCTGAGATATTTTGGTCAAAAGCTTTGCTGGAAGCAGAATTCAAATATATTGGTTATCTTTGACAATTTTAAAGGTCCACGTTGAAAATTCAAATACAGTTGAAAGAGTTCAAATATGGATTATCTTCTCATATGGAAACAAAAAATAAACTCTAAATTACACTACCACGAATACTCTAAAATTATTTATATATTGAACACACAAAGCTATTATCAGGATTAAGTGAGATAATCTGAGCCAAGCCAATATATTAATAATAATTAGAATATGTCAGTTGCCACTCAATAAATGGAATTATTACATTAATTTTGTTATTATTATTTAGTTATACATTGAGTTACATGTATGTCTGACATACCTTTGGAGTTAATACTACAATATTTTTTCTTCATAGGAAAACATGCATTCTGAGTTCCAAATAACTAATTTATGAGTGGATTTTGAAATAAAAAGAAGTGGTGTCTGTCATTCTATATTATATATAAGGCTGTATTTACCTGAAGTTGAAACCATTTAGTCAAATACATAGGCAGGTTATATTGCAGTGAAGCATACAGTTTCTAAATGTTATTTCTCTCCCACTGCAATGATACATTCATGGAGATACATGATTTGAATAATTGATTTTTAAGGTCTCCGAACAAATGTTCCAGAGAAAAACTTAACTATTTTACTGAAAAAAAGAATTAGCTACAGGAAAGTTTCTAATTTCAATTATTAATGCATAGAAATGATGCAACAAACCACAATAATCTTCAAAACATTTACCTGTAATTCTTGAGATGAACTATATCCATCTTTCATTTCTACTAAAGGGGTAATAAGATACTTATTTCTAATTTTACTTTTAAGCTCTGATTTTATTCATATTGATGTTATTCTAAAAGTTCATCTATGAAATATATTTTTAAACTAAAAAGTAAAAATCTAAAATTTTAAATATTTAAATTTTTTCTTATCAAAATGTCTTTGGTTCTGGAAAGCTATTCCTGTGTTGTATGCTGTCAAATACATTTGAGAAGCAACAAATCAGCATTGTACTAACACTTACTTTTTCCTAATAAATATTTTAAAGAAACATTAATTACAAATCATAGGTTTTCTTACAAAACACAAGTGATTTCACATAGTCCCCAAAATATTTTCTAGTCATAGAACTTTAACTACTTCTATCTTAGAGAGCTAGCAAGTTTGGTATCTGTATTAAATTTCTATTAGTTTATTTAGGAAAGATGAGCAAAAACAAAGATATAAAATGTGCTTAGCATGTATAAATTTACCAATATGGCTTACTCCATCAATTAAAACAACTGCTAAGCTATACACCTCATAACTATATCTAATACATTGTATAGCCATAATTTTTCTTAGCTTCAACACAAAGATTTTGCAAGGGCAGATGGATAAGTTCTACAGAATGTAAAACTGTTTGATTTTATACAACATGCTGAAATTATTTCATGTATTTTTGAACTTGTGTTGTGGATGAAAATTAATCTAATTTAAGTGCACTTCCAATTTATTAAAATAGACATTTGGCTCTGCATAATTCTATACGTTTAACATAGAATGAAGCTTTAAACATGCTTTCTCAACATGATTAACAGCTGATACAGTCTGCCTTAGTTATGTGAACTTACTTCATAAAAAATTGTTACGCTCAGTTGCATTTCCCAATAGATGTCAATCTCATTTTCTCATAATTTAATCTTTTAAAATCTTAAGAAGTGTTGTTTTTATTAAGAAATATTTTTAAAAAGTAATATTTCTTCCCCCTGTAGAAATAATCTACTCATTTTCACTTTCAAGTTAAAGTATAAAATATTTTTAACATACCTGTTTTTATAGCTTACTTGCTTTTATATCATTCATTATTTAAAAGATTCTCTTGAAGGGCACCTGTGTGGCTCAATTGGTTAAGCAACTACCTCTTGATTTCTGTTCAGGTCATGATCTCAGGGTTAAGATTGAGCCCCACACTGGGCTCCACACTCAGTATAGACTCTGCTTAAGATTCTCTCTCTCCCTCTCCATCTGCCCCTCCTCCTGCTCATGCACTCTCTCTCTAAAATAAATAAATATAATCTTTAAAAATAAACAAATACAAGTTTCCCTTGAGTTGTTTGATGTCAAATAACAATAGTGTCATAAAATAAATATAAAGGACTTTTCATTAAATATATATAAGATCTAATAGTCTCTCAATGAGTTATTGATAAATAAAAACTGCATTCTCCCCCAAAATGCTAGGAAGAAAAGCCTCACTATATTTATCTCAGATTTTTTTCTGTTAAGATGAAGGAAAAAGACATGACTGCCTACATTACTCATAATTAATAGATAAAAATTCACAGTAAAAAGGGGAATTTATTGCCCATTCCAACAGATTCTGAAAATGACTTCATTTCCCAGATATTAAAACTTAAAATTAGTTCTAAAAAATTCTTGAATATTTTTTTTTAAAGATTTTATTTATTTATTTGACAGAGAGATCACAAGCAGGCAGAGAGGCAGGCAGAGAGAGAGGAGGAAGCAGGCTCCCCTAGAGAGCAGAGAGCCCGATGCGGGGCTCGAACCCCGGGACTCTGGGATCATGACCTGAGCCGAAGGCAGCGGCTTAACCCACTGAGCCACCCAGGCGCCCCAAATCCTTGAATATTTTGAACCAATTAGAACTGCAAGAATAATGTCAAGTACAAATATAATGTATAAGTTTTTGTCACTTGTTATATTTACATTTCCTAAAGAGATTTTCATTGGTGTTAAAGCTCACCTAGCAGTTTTCCTGATGTATGTGTTCATAGAAAGATTTTGAAGATCAGCACAAGAAAATGGCTAACCATAAGAATTTAGAGTAAATATATATGACTCTGTTTTTATTTTAAAATATCTTTATTTTTCAGATGATTTGTTTCACATGAGCTTTGTATATGAAAAACAGATTGTGAGGGCATACTCTTCTCACTATAGATTCTGCTGTGTTTTCACAATCTAAGATTCTAGTTACCAAATAATAAAACAGCTAGCCTCTCTGGCTGCAGAGATAACTTTCATGCTATAAATCAATGCACTAGCTTCTTGTAAACTGCTATGAAGCCTGGAACAATTTAACACCAAGAGAGGTGTGAATTTCCTCTATTTATCTTAATAAAGTGTTAACTTCAGAGTATTTCAGTGCTTGCAGTTATATTCCAACATAAAAATGCTTAGATCCAGTTATGGAAACTTAATTAAATAACTTCATTTCTTAGTGTTTTTCTTAGGTTCTACTACTTAACCACTACTATTTCAAAAAGGGTTCTTAGAACTAATGAAAATAATTGGTAAAATAAATTTCTGAGCATAAACACAAAAAACATTTTACAATACTGCCAAAGATTTTATCAACAATAAAAATAACATTGAATTCATCTACCATGTGATAAAACTGCAATGCTACTACAAAGTAATACATTGGCTAGAACAGGAATTGAGCTTGGTTTTAAAACAATGAGTCTGGAGTGAGATTTTCTGGTTTAAGATCTTGGCTCCACTATTTACTATCTAAAGCTTTTTTTGGGTAAATTATACAACCACTCTGTACCTCAGTTTAGTCATCTATAAATGGTATGATAATTGTACTACTTCACAGGGCTACAATAAAGGTTAACTGGATTTATGTTTCTATTTAGAACAATGCCTGGCATATATGAACATTATAGATGAATTCAAGACATACTCAGTCTAATAACATATTATTACATCAAGTGCTGAATGACATACATTTTCAATTTTGTGGTTTCGATTATCTTTCTGGAAATGGTATTGTTCCAGAGAATAACTAATGCTAGTCAATTTCTCACCTCGAGGAAAAATAAAAGATAAACTTATCCAATCTGTTACTAACCCAGAACTGAAATCATAGCTAATACTTGGAGAACACGTTGACATTCAAAAAGACCTGCTAGAAAAAAACGAGCTGAATATAACCAGATAAAACTGAATCAAAAAGTATATAGTTCTATGTTTAGATTTTTAAAATTAAATGCCAAGTCTAGAATAGAGGAATTTAGTTTACCAAGAAAGAGAACTTGACAGCAATATTTGTCACCACACAATTCATTCTAAATTTACCTGGTAATTGACGTGACCATCTGTGTTAGTTAATTGGCTTTATCCAAGGGAAAGACAAACTTCTATCTTTATGCTAGGAGGCAGTTTTGCAACTTGGAGAAAGACAGCCACTTAAATGAAGGAAGCTACAGGAATGGGGAGGGATCAGGATGCTATCTCTCTTGATAATTAAATTTCCAAGAGATGGCTCACAGGTCCTTGGAAGAGATATACTTGGGTCATAAAGCTGGTAACAGGTCTATTTTTTTTTTTAAAAGATTTACATACATTTCAAAGAGATAGAGAAAGAACTTATAAGTTTTCTAAAGTTCCCCAAGAAAATGGGTGAGGTGGAGTCTCTTATTTTCAACATGGAGAATTACATCTCTTATTTTTAATTTATATTTGAAGAAAGAAATTGGAAATGAAGAGAAAAAGCAAAGAGAGAGTGTCTGCCATATACCATCAGATTTAAGATGCAGAAAATACAAGTGGCTAAAGAGAGAAATTAAGGATATTTGTTTTTTAACTACTTATAAAGAAATGAGTAATATCAAGGCAGATGGTTTTCATTAAAAAAAGAAATACATATCATAGCATAATTTAAAATTATTTGAACTATTTACCATTTATATCTAATATAAGTTCAGCCCAATAAAATTATGCTTACAAATGTGGGGGAAAAAAGAAAACTTTGTGTCCAGGCACCATTATTTATTTTCCCAAAAAGATAACTGACATAAAAGAATTGCGCTGGGAAGATCTGTACATTACCACAGACTCACTTTTGGGAATGTGCTCTGAGAAAAGAAGAATGCATAGAATAAGAGTAAATAGGAGAAACATTTATTTTACCTTCCTGTGTTGGAGGTTCGCAAGGCATATTTCCATATTAAAGCTTCTATGAAGCTTTTAAGAAGTCTTTTTAAATTTAGTAGAAATTATATAGGCTACGCAAATGAGAGCAAACAGCCTATATTTTCAGAGCCAGCTATATACCAAGGGAGTCCGCCACTATCACTTGTCTTGCCTTTTATAGATAAACCAAAATTTAGGATGGTATAAAATATTTAAGTCACACTTCATCTACTTGAGGATTTCCTAGAATTGCTTTATTTGGTTCTCACATTGAAAAATGCTGTAGAGAAGATTAAAACCAACAGAGGTTTGTTTTGTTTTGTTTTTACTTAGTTTTGGTGGCTTATGTGCCATAGAAATCTCTCTTTAAGTCCAGGAAATTTATGTGAAAATGCCACAGTATTAGTAAGTCTGAGTCCATTTTAATTAGAATATGATGTCAACTTTCAATTTGTTTTCAAGTGTTTTCTTAATTTTGGGATTTTTTTTTTCTTGGTTTCTATTTTTAAGTCTACTTTCTGTTCTAATTGTTCTTTTCTTTCTTATGTGCATCCTGGGTATGGGTATAATTATCTATTTTTGGCCAGTTGTCGCATATCTTTCTTCCTAGTTATTTAAATGCCTTTTTTTTCTATTATGTAATTCAATAAGCTGGAATTTGTCCTTCATTTAGGTAGATTTGTTTTCAGTGGTGTGGATGCTTCAACTGTTGTATCACTCATATGGTTTTATCTTTGTTCCCACTTATTTTGTTGCATTATTTCTCCTCTGAGTTCCCATATTTCTGTCTTGACATCTTCACACATGGAGAATTTTTTTCTTTAATTAATCTACTTGATTTCACAGAAAAATACTTCACTAAAGTTTTTATCTACTCCATGTTAAAATATTTTGTTGGCTTTGTTTTTAGCTTTTCATTTTTTTTAATGACTTTTTGCCTTGTACGTTCCTTCTATAATGCTGCATACATGTGAAAGTGAGAAGCTCTTTCTGGCTTCAGTTATTTACGGGATTTGATGCGGGAGGAGACAAGATGAGAACTTTGGGGGCTAACGTGAAGAAGAGTCTGGTAAAAAGCTTTGTTGCAAAAATGGAATATATGCAGGTTTTTTTCCTTCAACTCTAACTCCCTTGCCATTCCATGAGGACAAAGGATTAGGAAGGCTTTTTCAGCCCACACACTTGAGCCTGATGTCTAACACAAGAGTTAATTTTTCACTGGATGGCACCAACTACTCGGAAACATGCTGTTCTGACAGATTTGCTCAGGATCTGAAGTGGTCAGTGATCTCTCAGCCTTCTCTCTCAAAATGATGCCCTGGTTCAATACGTACGGTATGACTTGTTAAAATATTTTGAAGTTTGGGATCATCTGTGCTATTATCATCGAATACAAAATTTCTACTTCATCATTTTTCCTTGTTAGAAGTGGACAGAGATTTTGTTTCTTCCCCAGCTTAAAAGTGAAATGTTTTAATCGAGTATTTTTTTTTTCTTATTAACAGATAACGTATTGTTTTCAGGGACTCGTGTATTTTTCAAGAGTCGATCTTTTACTGTCTCTTCCATTTTATCTATAATTTCTCATTAATTCGGTTTCTATCACTCTAGAGCAAATCTAGATAATTTATATCCCCCACAATTATCCATTTCATTTAGCCTTTAAATTTTATTGGTGTAAATTTTTACAATTAATGTTGTTTATTTGAACTTTTTTCCTCAATACAAGCATTCATTGCATAAATTTCACTCTTATCTGCTTTTGCTGCATCCCATAAGTTTTGGAATATTGCATTTTCTTTTTCTTTTGTTTTAAGACATACTTTTTTTTGAGACATATTTTGATTTGCCATTTGATTTCTTATTTGGCCCATTGCTTGTGCAGTAATGTGTTGTTTAATATTTACATACAAAATATTTCATATTTTCAAAAAACTTGTCACACCAATTATTTTATAGTCATTTAATATCCTACATCTATAATAGGTCCCTTTATTATTTCTGACATTTTTGTAACATTTTGACTCACTTTGAATAAGTTAATTAGATTCCTTTAAAGTCTACTTACTGTTTGCTCTCTACAATCTTGAGATTCATTTCTTGTCAGATTGGGTTTGGTAACTGATGTTAGTAAAGCATGTTTTCCTTAAAATTTTGGCAATACTTCTGCTAGCTCCTGATATTTTTGTTTGATAGTTTGTTTTTGCCTGGCTGTGGATATACATTCTGACATAAGAGCTAGCCTTAGGAGACTGTGGGAGCAAAATGCTGGTAGACTATGCCAAAAATTTCTGTCTGATTATGTCTGGCTTCAATGATGCAGGCACTCACCCTTGCCACTTTGTTCCAAGGACAAATGTAGCTGATGCCCAGGGAAGAAGAGCACTCTGTCCAGCTATTCCACATGCATTCACCCAAATAATCCCTTCTCTGGGGGCCTCCCCAACTGTTTGAATGTGTTGCTCTGGGCATGAAGCATCCTTTGGTACCATTTCACATCTGCTGCTCAATCCTCTTCTGTAAGCCTCTTTCTTCTTTTTTCTGTATTTAATGGATTCCTCAAATAACATGACTAATTGATAAAAGACATTCTAGTTTTCCATCACCACTTTAGATTTAATATTTTATAATATTTATGGCCATTAAAGGTGATTTGTGTTGGAGAGAGTTTTTATATTTTGTTAGCCATCATCATCCAATGTCCTTGTTCAACGCTTCTATGATTACTGATTTGAAACCTGTTTTTTCCTGTGGCCTGGATTAAACATTTCAAGAAGGTAATTTAGTAACTTATAGACTTATCTTTTCTAGGTAAGTCTCCAGCAAATATCTCTTCATCTCTACTTGGAATGCATTAGGTTATGTGCTCCTTCCGGAATCTTTAACTGTGGGAAAGAGGATAGGATTTTTTTGAGGGAGGAATAGATGACGTGATATAAAGAAAATCAGGAAGGGGCACCTGGGTGGCTCAGTGGGTTAGGGCCTCTGCCTTCGGCTCGGGTTGTGATCCTGAGGTCCTAGGATTAAGCCCCGCATTGGGCTCTCTGCTCAGTGGGGAGCCTGCTTCCTCACCCTTCTCTGCCTTCCTCTCTGCCTACTTGTGATTTCTGTCGAATAAATGAATAAAATCTTAAAAAAAAAAAAAGTCAGGAATAAATGGAAGGAAAAGAGGCATTTCTAAGATAAGGAAAAATTAGGATGAGACTGATCAAAGTTATTATTAGCATTTGGGAGTCTAATATGTATAGAATTAGCAGATTATTTGGAATACATAAAAAATCTTAATGGTTAGAGAAAAATGAAAAAACAAAAAAGAATATATTTCCTCTTTATCTTTTTTAAAAATTTTAATACACTTACAAGACTGTTAAATAAGCATGCCTCTAGACCTTGGACCCATTTACACCATGTTAATATGAAAATAAGTAGGAATGGCAGAGTATTTGTTTTTCTCCATCTGTTGTATTCCTTTGGCTGTGCCAGACTCTGACACTGCACTCTGGGTTGAATATATCCTAATTAAACTGAAGTTTTTCAAATGTGATTATATGGTAATCATTTCTATTCTGCTGTAATCATAGGAAGGATGTCTTAGACTAATTTTTTACTATGGAGAACTAGATAAAAGTAGGGCCAACACAAATGATATTTTACTCTCTAATTAATTCAGTTGGCTACAGCCCTATCATTCTAACAACACATAATCTTTAATGGGCAAGTTGTGGGAAGAAAAGATATACTGCCATTTAGCCATAGAAAGTCTCACTGTTATTGTACACAGGTGAAAAATGAATAAAATACCTTCAGTGTTCATTAAGGGAACTCTGTGATGTTGGCTTTTCCATTCCTGAAAAAAAATAGGAATATAATGAATAAATGCAGATTCTATTTAATAGAAGATCTGACAAAGTTAGGAAATGTCTTTTTGTGTTAAAAATGCATTTTGAACCTAAAGCAAATGGTTCTCTATTATTCCAAATAACCATGATGAATTTAAAAAACATGCAACCTTCTAATCAATTTTCCATTACTTAAAATCTTTCATTATAAAGGCTTTAAAAATGTTCCTATTTTGGGTCACTCAATAAAGAAAGGAAAAAAAGAGAAAAAATATTGGGCAGATAAATAGCTACCTACTATGGTGCTCTCCAACTTTTAGATGACTGACTTTCCAAAACAAACAAGCCATCAATGCAATATTTTATTCTAAGATTACATAGAAATGAGGTTCTATATGTGAGTGTTACTGCAGGATTTTCCAGAACATATCCTCATGGTATAAAACATAGGGCATGTAAAAAAGAGGCACTCTAAACTCTAGACATAAACCCCTACTTTTACAGTGCTAAGTTGAAAGATCTTCTAATTTATCCTTCATGTTTGTTAATTTCCAGCAGGTCTTTTCCTCTTATATTTCTTCATCTCTTCTGTGCGCTGCCTCGGTTATACTGGTATCAATATGAACATGAACAAAGCTCCCTGCTTCCTTACTGTGAGCTCAGTAACTTTACTCTAGTAAAGTTTTTTTTTTTTTTTTTAATTTGTGAATGGAAGACAGCACAAGCACCAGAGAGTATACACCATCTAGCTTTTTGATGGTTCCTCTTTAATTTTTCTCTTCTTCACCTCTACAGAGAAACCTGAAGAACCAACCATATTTTTAGGCAACATGGTTCTTCCCACACATAGGCACCTGCAAGTCTTGGTTTTGTTCTATAAGCCAACTTGTCAGAGAATCTTTTTCTGAATTAATACTCATGTTAATTTTTCTGAATGGAGGTTTTGTTTTCCATCTTAACATATATCATTAGTATAACTCAACAGAAGGCTATCTCTGTGGAGTCAGCCTATCTTAACCCTTTCACTCAGTATGAGTCACTAGGTGCCATGTGGCAGGATCCAAAACAGGAGAATGACCCTTTCCTCCTCATATGAAAATCTAGGCCCTTCTTGCTTAGCTCAGACCTTGCTTTGCACATTTAGATTCCCTGTTATGCTACCTTCCTAATATGTACTAAGTGATTACAGTTCTCATCATTTAAATTTATTAATTTAAACATAAATTTGCTATAATTTATGTCTGAATTATCTTGTTTCAAATATATCATATAAAAATTTGATGCTTTATTGAAATAGGATTTTATAAATTGATCTAGATGTTCAATAGGGTTGGACAAAAATTCCCTTAGGTTACAAGGAAATGAACTCTAACCAATGTCACCTAGCTAGGAAATCTGCTAGGGAATCTCAGAAAATGTAAGATGATATTGTCAAACTGTAGGGATGCAACGTGCAAACAACAGCTTGCAGGAAGATTGTAAATCACAATAGTAATGGGCTAATGATGCAGCAATTATTGCCAAGAAAATAAATCTGAAGTACTGGGTGACTAGGAAATTCAATTCAGAGTTTCAGGTTAAAAAGTAAATAGTAAAGAGCAATGTAAAAATGCTAACAAGAGAGAAGTGTATCAGGGAGAAACTTAGCATGTCTGACTCCATATTGCTTGTTTCTTTTGAAGCTGTGACCTCTAGCTTAGAAACTTCTGCTTAGCCCGGCACATAGGCATGCTACAACTAAGATTTATAAAAATTGATTTTTACCCCAAATCTACCCCATCCAAGGATAAGGAAATACATATAGAATTGACTATGCTATGTTTAAGAAATGGCATGACCAGATTCCTGTATGTAAAGATCAACTGACCAAAGACAAAGAAGATATACAAGCTTCCTGAGATGTCTACAGAGGTCAGTAATCATTTTGACTCCAACCTCCCCTTGACTTCCTCCTTTTGCTAACATAAAAGAAACTTGAATTTCATACTAGGGAAGATGGTTGTTTGGGATGATTGTCCACCATCTCCTCAGTTTGCTGGCTTTCCAAATAAAGTTGCTTTCCTTACCCAACATCTTTCCTCTTGACAGGCCTACTGTGCGGTGAACAGAAAGAACTTGGTCTCCATTACAGAAGTACCAGAAATATGCAGATTAATTCCTTTTATCTTTGCTTAATAACTTATAAACAGCACCATATCTTTATATTTATGTTTTTATTAGTAAAAATACTTATCAGGCACCTGGGTGGCTCAGTTGGTTAAGCGACTGCCTTCAGCTCAGGTCATGATCCTGGAGTTCTGGGATTGAGTCCTGCATCAGGCTACCAGCTCCATAGGGAGTCCGCTTCTTCCTCTGACCTTCTTAGCTCTCATGCTCTCTCTCTCAAATAAATAAATAAAATCTTTAAAAAAAAAAATACTTATTGACTTTTAGTACTCATTATTTATTGGTGAGAATCTCATTTTAACTTTTAAAAAATTGAGCATTTCACATTGTGGTATGAAAAATTGACACGACTGCAGCCATTTTGAAATAGAGCCAGAGGGTTCACTGCAGAGAAAGTACTTTACCTGTTTTGTTTTGAACTGGACTATAAAATTTTGGACTGGGGGGGCGGGTGGTGGTGGTGGTGCCTGGTGGCTCAGAGTCAGTCTCCTACGGTCCAGGCTGGAGGCGCCGGCAGGGGAAGCGGGGGCGGTCCGCTGGGCGATTCATAAATCCTGTAACCAATAAAAACTCTGTTCCAAACCCGGGGCGGGATTTGAGATTAGAAGCTCCTGCGAGCAGGGAACTTCCTGTGCCCCCCGTTTTTTCTACCTAAGACGCAGTCGTCCAGATGCGCCCAGATATTACGGAGAAATAACTTAATGAGTAATGCTATTTTTAGATAGACTGGATTAACGTCTTTATTGGTTTATAGGACTATGGCTTGGGGGTATAATTAATAAGACGTATTTTTAACTGTGAATCTTTTGCTAATTTCCTATTTATATTTCCGATCATTTGATAAAAGTGAAACCCACCTCAATGCAAAGACAGGATGTAATAAATAATTGCATAAATATCTCCAAGGCTAATCTGGATATCCGCTGTAGATACGTATTTGCAGGAGGAAATAGCTATGTTTAAAGTAACTATTTTTTAAGCAGGAAGCATTCTGTTAGCCCACCTTCTCTTTCCCCTCACGCCCTTGTATTCACATACCGTGCACAAATCCAAGGGGACAAGAAGCTGAGCTCAGGAGCTGAACTGTCCATTTGAAATAAACGATGCTAAGTAAGGCTTAGATCCTCTTCTAGTTCTTATTGTCTTATCCAACTCAGAAATACTGTGCCTTCTCTCCCTAAGTGAAATCCTCCACCTTGGCTCCGGATTCTGGCCACTTTCATTTCACCTCCTATCATGAGTTATGTATCTTCTCTCAACAGATTTCCAATTTCTCCTTATTGTTTCCCCTTGGCATTTAAACATATTTGTCCACAGCCTAAGCATATTAAGGGCAGGGAGAACGGAGGGGCACAGGAAGTGCCCTGCCCACCGGAGCTTCTAATCTCAAATCCCGCCCCCGGTTTGGAACAGAGTTTTTATTGGTTACAGGATTTATGAATCGCCCAGCGGGCCGCCCCCGCTTCCCCTGCCCGCGCCTCCAGCCTGGACCGTAGAAGACTGCCCGGCGCTGGGACGAAAATTCCTGGCGGATACTCTACTAAGGACCCGTCCTCCCCCTGGCGCGCGCCATCTACGTAAAATGCGAAACTTCCAGGATACCTTAGGCCTAGAAACCATCATGCATGCAGTTCGTCCTCCGCGGGCCTGGGAGCAGTAAGTTCAGCCCTAGAGACCGTATACGCATGCGTGTGATGTCACTTGCGCGCCCTTCTAAACTTCCTTGTTTTTCTTTAGTGCGTAGGTGAGTGAATTTCTGCGTCGGTTTGGAGTTCGTTGGATGGGTGTGAAGTCTTTCGGTTTGTGAGCGGGTATGCTAAAAAAAAAAAAAAAAAAAAAAAAAAAAAAAAAAAAAGCTGGTTTAGTTTAGATCAAAATTTGGTGTCGTTATTGCAGAAAGACCCTTCATAATTGTCTTTAGCGTGAGAGGGCTGTGTTCAGTATCTTGCTTGGCGTTTTGTGAGCCTCTGAGTTGAGTTAGTCTAAGTCCTCGCCCTCACAGAGCTCCAGGGGCTTGGGGAAGGTTGATGCGCACATATTAAAATTAGGTTTTGGCACTGGTGCGTGTCCCACTCAAGACGTTTGAGAAATAAGATTGAAACCAGAAAGCACAAGTTAGTATCAGTTTAATAGTCCTTGAGAGTGTATAGGGGCTGGAGGCAGGAGACAGCATATATTTTGTAGTAATAACCTTTTGGTGCCCAATTTTTTTTTTAAGATTTTATTTATTTATTTGACAGAGATCACAAGTAGGCAGAGAGAGAGGAGGAAGCAGGCTCCCTGCTGAGCAGAGAGCCCAATGCCGGGCTGGATCCCAGGACCCTGAGATCATGACCTGAGCTGAAGGCAGAGGCTTTAACCCACTGAGCCACCCAGGCATCTCAGGTGCCTAATTTGAGTACACAATATTACAACTGCTAAGGGATGAAAAAAGAAACCAAATTTTTCAATCCCCCTCCCCTTCCCCAGTAGCTAGTACATTTTAAAGCACAGTTTTGCCAAAGGACATTGTCAGTGCAGTTTTCACAGGTCCAAAAACTGGCTTTTAGAAGTACTTCTTTAAATAGAAAACTAAATAGAAAAGGCTTGAGTTTCAGTGTCTTAGGGGAAGGTGTATAATAACCCTTGTAATAAAATTACAGAGTAATCCACTCCACCCCCAAGAGTGATTACTAACTTAAAGAAAAAGCAAAACTAAGTCAAAGAAACTTAAAACTACTGACTATACTTTGGATAAAACATTGGTCTTTGTGTTTTCAGCAGCAAGCTGTCAATTTCCTAGTTGAATTTGCTTTGGACAACATTTTGAAACAGAGCTGATATGCCACTTGAATTAATAAAAGAAGTCAATGGAGTGCCTGAAGTTGAGCTGCTAAGTGAATTAAACAAAGTAGATATCAGTTCTCTACAGCCAGGTTGTGATTATAGCAAAAAATACATACAGGTAAGAATTTTCATCACTCAGAATGCTTTTTTCTTCTAAAATGAATGCTTATTTTTATGTTTAGCTTATTTCTAAGAGTTGTTTTAGGAATAGTTTTAGGTGTGTCACAATGTTTGTCGTTATTTGGTGCTGTTATTCTTAATTATTTAGTGTTCATTTAGCAAACATTTATTGAATTCTTCTGTGATACAGTGGAATAAATTCTGAGGGTACAAAGATGAATGAATATGATCCTTGAACTAAAGGGGACTGCATTCTTTTGGGTTTGGATAGTTTACCTAATCTCTGTTTATAATTAATAGGTTGGTATTAGCATTGTGGTATGTGAACGTTTAGGAGAGAACCTTTGGTTCTGACAAGTTAGGTCAGGAAAATGGAGCTGGAACTTAAAGGATGACTGAGATTATACCTTTCATTTTGGGTGTAAGCCAGCCCTCAAGTGCATGTTGAAAAATTTGGATGTTACCCTAAATAACATCCCTTAATAATAACCCTTAATAGATTTTAAGCAGGACAAAGACATGATTTACTTTGAGTTTAGATTACTCTGTCTTTTGGGTGAAGAGTATATCAAAAAGGGCAACAGAGTTGCAGTAATTTAGTTTAGAGGTGATGTTGGTCTGAACCAGGGGCAAGAGGAGATGATGGGATGGAGACAGACAAAATAGTAATGAAATAATAGTAATAACAAAATTTAACATTAAGCCCTTTTGGGAACTTGGTAGTGCTTTATGTATATCAACTCATTTAATCATCACAAAACCGTATGGATTGGGTACTATTATTCTTGGGCTGTGAGGAGACTGCATTTCTAAAAGGTTAAATAATTGGCTTGACATGCTTAACTGCTTAACATGCAGTTAATAAGTAGTAGAGCTGGTGTTAGAATTTAGACATTCTTGCTTTGGAACTGACAAGCAGAATCAATAGGTCTTGGAAGATGAGTAGATGAGAGAGGTTAAAAAGGAGTTCAGGAAATTTCCCTGGTTTTAAGTCCTGTCAACCCTGGGAGAATAATAGGCATACATTTAGGAAGAAAGATAATGAGTTCGGTTTTGGATATCTTTCAGAGGTTATTAGATGTATCCAGGTAGTAATGTCCTGTAGGCAAATAGATTTGGGGTTCTGGAGCTCAAAGGGTTCCTCCTCAGGGAGATTTGGGCCAAAGAACAGAATGAGAAGATGTGTTGAAGGATGTCAATATTAAGAAAGTAGCATGAATAAGAGATAGATAATCCAGGGGCGTAGGAGAAAAACCAGGAGAGAGTGGTGTCTTGTATACTTAGTAAGGTAAGATTCAAGGAGTAGTATCATAACTAGTAACTCACAAGTAGTAACTCTTAGATAAATTGCTTTCTGGTACACACACTCAAGTGATTTACAATGTTCCCTCGTTTAAGTCTTGAAAGAGCCCTGTAAATAGATATTATTATTCCCATATTATAGTTGGGAAAACAGATACAGGTTAAGTAATTCATCCAAGGTTAGATCCAAGGTTAGCTAGTAAGTGGCTGAGCTGTGATTTGAATTTTCATTGTCTTTGCTACTAACCAAAGCATTATGTTGCTGCTAAACATGCAAAAACATTTGGAAAGTATCTGTTAGATTTGATAATCAAGAAAGTACTGGTCACTTGGAAAGACCGATGTTGCTGGGTTGGCTTTTAGTGGTTTGAGGATTCAGTGTCGCGTGAGAAAGTGAAAGCAGGAAATGTCTTTCAAGGAGTTGGAGGATGTTGTGGTATTTAGATATTTTGATTATGGTCATAGTCCTGTAACAGGAACAGAAAGTTTTTTAATTTTAGCTGAGTCAGTTTTGCATTTGGTTAACAGTGACTAGCTTTTATACTAAAGTCAGCTTCACAACTACTGCACTAAAGTGAAATAAAACACATTACATTTTTAAAAATGTATCTGCATTTCCTTTCCTCTTCTATTCTTTCCTCACTCTGTCCCCTTTTCCTCCCAGTATACTCACACTCAAAACTCAAAGACCATGTTCACAAACTTATCCTACAGCAGTTTAGCACCCTGAAAAGGAGTGGAAGCCCTGGAGACTTCCAGGCTGGTTGGATTCAAGGATAGACCCACCATTTACTAGTGATGTAATTGGGAAAGTAATTTTATCTGCCTGTGCCTTATCTTTTCCATCTGTAAGCTAGG